CGGGGGGGGCGGGGTTCATCGCTGCATTAGCTAAAGAGCTTTTCCAAAATGTGGGAGGCACAGGACAACCCCAAACAGTGAAGATAAAACAACACGCTACAGAAATACGGCAGAAATACGGGACGTGGATGGAACTGTGGATGAAAAGAAACGAAATTCTGGAATGATCTCAAGCAGGAGCAGGCAAAGTCAGCGTACCTTTTTGGGACTCGTGCAGCTGCAATTTCTCCTGGTGATCCCAGCCAAGAGCACATTTGTCTTGTCTGTCCGTCTGCACGCCAAACTTTCCTCCAAACCCTTTCACATAGTCTAAGTGCACAAGAAAAGGCCACAAGCTAGTGTTAGCGGAGGGCACGCTTCCCACGCGGCCAAACACCCACCACGCGCCACATCCCTCCTTCCCCTCCTAGACCTTTCGCAAAACTTTAGGACGCATTCACGAGGAGGACCTCCTCGCGGCACATCTGGAAAGCAGCCTGATCTGTTGTGTCCGTATCGCGAACGCACACACATGGGACCCCAACAAGAAGCTCCGCACAGCCTGAACCAGCACCCACGGGCCATCACGATCGCACCGTTTGCAACACAGACGTGTGGCACGTGGCCACCATTACAGGTGACTGCTCGAGTCACGGGGTCCTGGGGCCAAACAGGCGTGAAGATACAGTTTCTTGCTTAACAGCTGTGTTGGGACTTGTGTTTTAAAGCTCGATGTTTAGGGGTGCCGGGGAGGCTCGGTCAGTTGGGCGCCCGACTTGGGCTCAGGTCACGATCTTGCAGATCATGAGTTCGAGCCCCGTGTTGGGCCCTGGGCTGACGGCTTGGAGCCCGGAGCCTGCTTCGGATTCTGGGTCTCCCCCCATCTCTGCCCCTCCCCCACTCACACTCTGTCTCTCAAAAGTGAATAAACGTTCTAAAAAAAAAAGCTTAAAGTTCACTGCTGAATTACAAAGGGGCATCTACTCTAGGGGTGGCTGGCCACGCTTCCCGTCTCCGTTCTGGTCAACAGCACTCAGCCCGTGAACGGCGGCTGGCGAGAGCAGACACCGCGGGAGTCACCTTTCTGGGATTCGTGCTTCTCCGTCTTGCCTTGGTACTCGAAGCCCACGGCGCTTCTATCCACCTTGTCCTTGTCGATGCCAAACTTGCCCCCGAAGCCCTTGGAGTAATCTGCAAACGAGGGCGGCACCGTTTTCGCAGCAGCAACGCAGTCGAGTGCGGGGACCTCTGAGAAAACGCTTCTGTCGCCCGAGCAAAACCGAAACAAACCCAACAAGGATCCCTCGGCCGCAGCGGAAGGTCACTAGCAGGGGGGACCCTGGAAGGCGTCACTTGTACGTGTAGGAACAGAAACGTCCAGAGTAGCAAACAGAGCAGATGAACGGCTATCGAATCTTCCCTTCGCTCCAAAGGAGATCAGAAGCAGGCGCGTTACCAAGCTTCTGAGGTCGAGACGAGCCACGGAGGCGCCGCGGCGAGCTGTCGAAAGGTCACCCTGCTTCACGAACTAAAGCCAGCAGAGGTGCACCGGTGGCACCTCCAAAGGAGGAGGACACGCACGAGGCATCTTCCAGAAACCTCACTTCCCCGCAAAGCTAAGTCACGGAAATACATGGCCTGATACTTAAGCACGGCTCCCCCAGGGACACGTGCGCGGAACAGAATGCGAAGATCAGAACCCTCAGGAGGCCCGGGGGCTGCCGAGGAGCCCCGTCTGCCCCAGGCACGTGGGCTCCCGCCACCCGACTTCCCGCAGGCGGTTTCTGCTCCTCACTGCCACATCGGGGAGAGAGTCTGAACAGCACCGAGCGGGATCCAAGAGCAGGCCCTGATCGGCAGGGTCACAGTGGGCAGAGGGGCCCGGTTAGCAGGCAGGGGCTGCGCACTCCAGGGCCAAGACTGCGGCCTCAGGGCAGACGGGCAGGCCTGAGACAGGAAGCACCCCGCGGGCCCACCGGCAGCTTCCCTGGGTAAATGCCGAGCCGGTGGTGTTCCCAGTGGCGGGGTTTAACCTTGTCTTTTAAAGAAACCCGGGTTTTTAAATAATATAGTGAGCTCTCTGTTTGTAAGGGTTGGCAATTATTTTTAAAAACTTAAATGTGCAGGGGCACCTGGGTGGCTCATTTGGTGAAGCATCCGACTCTGGGTTTCAGCTCAGGTCACAATCTCCTGGCTCACAAGTTCAAGCCCCGCGTCAGGCTCTGCACTGACAGTGCGGAGCCTCCTTGGGCATCTCTCTCTGCCCCTCCCCCAATTATTCTAAATAAACAAATAAATAAATACACAAGAATATTCAAACGTGCAGGGGTGCCTGGCTGGCTCAGTTGCTGGAGCACGTGACTTGTGACCTCAGGTTTCTAAGTCTAAGCAGCACGCTGCATGTAGCAATTACTGAAAAAAGATAAAATCTTAAAAAAATGTAACGTGCACGCAAAATAAACGCAAAAGAGCCAACAATCCGCGGCCTCTGCAGGAAGGTACCGCGTCTGTAGGGCACCCCGCACGGATGCAGCAGTCTGTCACCGATGCCTGGCAGGGGATCTAACCAGGGACAGGAAGACCAGCCTGGCCTGCAAGGACCCTCTGCCAGCATCCACCAAATTTTAAAGTCAAGGTCCTGTGACCCGGCAGTTCCTTTTCTGGGAATTTACTCTTCTGAGTAATCACATACGTCTGTGACACAAGAGAACAAGATTTTTAACTCCAAAAACCACCAAGAGGGGAGCCTGGGTGGCTCAGTCGGTTGGGCGTCCGACTTCGGCTCAGGTCACGATCTCGCGGTCCGTGAGTTCGAGCCCCGCGTTGGGCTCTGTGCCGACAGCTCAGAGCCTGGAGCCTGTTTCAGATTCTGTGTCTCCCTCTCTCTCTGACCCTCCCCCGTTCATGCTCTGTCTCTCTCTGTCTCAAAAATAAACGTTTAAAAAAAAATAAAAAATAAAAGTAAAAAAAAAATAAACCACCAAGAGCCTGAATCCCATGGTCCAAAGCAGAACGACCTGGCTCAGCAGACTACGAGCCCTTCACAGGACGGGGCTGAGCCGCCGTCCGAAGGACGACAAACCCCCTAGGCCCACGGAAGAGACAGGAGGGCCCTCACACATTCAGGTAAAAAGGCTGCGGGCGTGTAATGTGAGCCAGTCTCCCCGGGGCTGGTTCTGGGGACGCGGGAGGCCGGGGACACGGGGGGACACAGGGGGCCCCGAGCGGGGAGGACGTGCCGCCGCAGGCCGACCTTTCTGCGACTCGTGCTTCTCCGTCTTGCCCTGGTAGTCGAAGCCCACGGCGCTCTTGTCCACGCGGTCCGCCTGCACACCGTACTTGCCACCAAAGCCACTCGAGTAATCTGAGGGGACAAGACAGGGGTCGGGGACAAAGCCCAACGACAGACTGTTCACTTGTCAACGACTCACGACAACAACATTCCGGAGTTAGGAGTCACCGGGAGATGAGGCACACGTTTGAAAACGCCACCCACGGCCACACACCAGTGAGCAGGGCTCGGCCTACAAGCTTGCGTCCCGGGCAGCGAGGACCCCAAGCCTGTGACGGGCACCTGCTTCCCAGGGCAGAAGCGAGCCGTGTTCTCACTCGGGAAAGTAACCGTCTGGAAGCTACGTGGCTGCGATCCCTTTCCAAAGGGACAGGAAATGTCCGCGCCCTGGCTCATCTGATGACAAGCAAGAGGCAGAAGTCACCAGCTTGCTCGAGACACATCAAGTGCCCTGAGAAGGTGACACGCTTTCGCTGGTAAAAAAGGTTCTAAAAGGCACACCGTAAAGGTCAGCCAACGCCGTGTCAGAGAGCACGCGTGCGCAGTAAAAGTTGAACCATCGTTGATTTAAAGGCTCGCGTTTCCATTGTTGGGGGGACGTTAGCGTTTCACGAAGCGGGCCCCAGAGCCGACCATCCAGGGAACACCGCTCAGAAAGACAGCTTCCGCGGCGGCGACACGGGACCCAGACACCTGGAGAGCACAGTCCTCCCCGGAGGCGACACCGCCTTCCCCAGGGAACCACCTCCGGGGACATCGCCCTCCCCCCACCTCGGCCGCAGGCCTTACCTTTCTGCGAGGCGTGTTTCTCGGTTTTCCCCTGGTATTCAAAGCCCACAGCAGACTGCAATTACCACAAAGAGGGAAACACGTTTTTAGAGGTCTCCAAAACGGTTCATCCGAACCCCGAACACACGTGAAAAGTTCGAAACCACGAACCATGTTAGTTTTCTACCTCCGATTCCCTAAGCCAGGGGCAGGCCTAACACCCAAAGCTCCAGGCGTGGAAATTCGCTGCCACAAAATGTTCAGCAACGCCCAGCAGGCAGTGCGGGCGGACCCGCGGCCGCCCGCAGCCCCCAAAGGGCACGTGGGGCTCGTGGACTTCAGCCCCACGATGCCAGCCCGGGCGACCCCCCGCCGCCACAGGGACGCCTGCTTTTCACGCGGGCCCTTCCAAGAACAACACTAACGTCAGTAGCGAGAACGGGCACGGCGGGGGCATCTGCACACACGGCCCCGGGAGACGGGAATCCCCATGGCCCCATTTTACAGGCAGTTCACGCTGAACCGCGGCAAACGGGCTGTAACGCCTGAGTGCAGATAGACGCTGAACTCCAAAATCCAGCTGCTGTGATATAAAACAGGGTCCAGACGGCCTTTGCCCAGAGACTGAGAGGCTGAGGCCCAGAGGTGCCAGGCGGCACCTGGACGCCGGGCCTCAGCCCTGGATTGGGCGCGCGCGTGGCCCTCTGAACACCGCCGCGTCGGGGACATCCGTGCAGGGAGGGTGGCTAGACGTGGTCCCCAGGGGCACGTTCTTGGGCAGCGGAAGGCTATCCTGGTCTGTCCGATCAGCGGGTGCCAACGTGGGGGATTCGCACAGGAGCCAGGGCGTTCCTGCTCTCACGTCGTAACCTGACCCATCATCTCAGAGCCAGGGATCGGGGGGCTTCTAGAAGCCTGGACGCCCACCCCACAGTCCTGCATCAAGGCGCTATCTTGAGCGGCCCAGAGGACGCCCCGGTCTAGAGGGAGGGGCCCCATCACCCGCGCTCTGGTGCCCCCGACGCCTCACTCACCTGGTCAACTCTGTCCACCTGGACACCAAACTTGCCTCCAAAGCCCCGGACGGAGTCGACCTGGGAGCAGTGCTTGGAGAGCTTCGACTGATACTCGTGGCCGACGGCTGACTGAAACAGGTCACAGAGAGAAGGTGTCCGTGTCAGACACCCCCGTGGCACGGCCCACGGGGAACAGGCCCCCACGTGCGGTCCACACCAGGCCTCCTCCCCGAAACACGCCCGGTGCGCAAGCCGGCAGAGGGGGGGAATCCCTGAAGCCACCCGAGACCCTGCCGGGTGGGGGCTTCTGATGTGACGGGCGCGGGCAAGGGGCCACGAGGCCAGTCCCGTGCAGAGCCCAGCCTGACACCCGGCACCCCCAGATGGCGATACAGTCGCTCGCTCTGCTGAAGCGAGGCACCCGCCTGCCGCGTGGCGCAGGAAAGAGGACCAGAGATACCCGCCGACAGACGGAGACGCAGACTCGCGCTCTCGGGGGCGACACGCGCTCGGCCGCTCTACAGAGCCACCGCGATCGCGACGCCCACCCCGTCCACCCACAGGGTCCCCCACACGGTAAAGTCGGGGCGTCCCGCCACCCTGGCCTCCGCAGGGTCAGCCACCCGGGGCCTCGGCGCCCCACACCGGGCGCTACAGCTGTTGGTGAACAAAGCTTCTGGAACGCAGCCCCCACCGTGCATTTACATATGAGGCCGCCTCTGGGATCCGACCACCGAGTTTGGTAAATGCCAGATGCCCACAGCCCGCGAAGCTGAAAAGACTGACAACCAAGCTCCCGTGCGGCCCCCGACCCCGCCCAGCCTCCCGGCACCAGGCTCTGTCCCCAGCGTGGACGGCCCGGACGCCTGACCGAGTGTCGGCATCTGAACCTTCCTTCTTACGGCCGACGGTCTCACCGCCTGGGACGCGGCGCGGACGGCCCTCCGCCTGGTCTCCCTGGGGCTGCACAGGACGCCTGGGTCAGGAGGAGCCGGGGCGGAGGCGGAACTCGGGGGGCCGTCTCAGCACGGCGCAGGGGAGAGAGTGGCCGAGCTTCACTCCAGGCCTCAGAGCCGGGCCACGCTCTCCCCTCCCCGGCTCCACTCTGATGTCCGTCCTGCCCGGAGACCGGAGGCACACGGACCTCCCAGGGCCTCCAGGCTCCCACTCAAAGGTGCTGACAAAGCCCCCCCAGGGGACCGGGGCCCAGCGGCTGCCACGCCTGCCAGACCACACTCCTCGCACAAACACGTGCCTGCCGGAGCGGGGTTTTGTTCTCCGAGTCTCCGTCACGTTCTCCTCAAATCTTAACCCAGAGATCTCTGGGCTCTTTCCAACTCAGAGCGGACAAGTTACGGATAACTTGAGTCATGTGTCTTTGGAGTCTCGTTTTTTTGTTTTAAGCTTCTTTACTTATTTTGAGAGAGACGGACGTAGCGCGAGTGGGGGAGGGGCAGAGAGATGGGGAGAGAGAGAATCCCTAGCAGGCTCTGCGCTGTCAGCAGAGAGCCCGACGCGGGGCTCGAACGCACAAACCGCGAGATCGTGACCTGAGCTGAAACCAGGAGCCGGGACTTAAGCGACGAGCCACCCAGGCGTCCACGGAGTCGTGCTTATTTCTGACAACAGGTTGGTCCAATCGTGCCCCCGGGAGCTGCAAGCTAACCTTGCCTACGGGTGCAGTGAGGCACGGAGGGAGGGGCTGCGAGCCCATGGGAGCACCCCCACCGCATTCATTCCTAAGGGGAGCCCCCCCCCCCC